CCCCCCCCCCCCCCCCCCCCCCCCCCCCCCCCCCCCCCCGCTGCCCAGCCCCCTGGCCTTTGATGAGAGAACTGAAAACCCACTGTGCCTCACTAACTGTTGGGAGGTGCTAATCCCCTGTTTATGACCTCACACTCTGTTTCCATGGAGATGTCAAAGCGGTTTATGAACTTTCATTAGAGAGTTGTGGGGTTACCAGAGGCCATGGGCCTGTTGTTGGGAGAGTTTAGACTCCAAATCTCAGAGTGGCTTGAGACTCCTGGGATTTGGACCTGGCTTTCTAGCTGAGACTTGGTGGGCAGCTCTTTGGGGTTTGCCAGGCCACTAGGGGTGTGTCTATACTGCAGTTAAAAAACCCCAGCTGGCTCATGACAGCTGACTTGGGCTAAGGGGCTGTTTCATTGCGGTGTAGACATTCAGGCTTGGGCTGGAGCCCGGGCGCTAAGACCCTGCAAGGTGGGAGGGTCCCAGAGCTCAGGCTGCAGCCCAAGCCCATATGTCTACACCGCAATTAAACAGCCTCGCAGCCCAAGCCCCACGAGCCTGAGTCAACTGGCACGGTCCAGCTGCGGGTGTCTAATTGCAGTGTAGACATACCCACGTTGTGCTGTCAGCAGGGATCAGATTGTGTGCAGACAGTCAGGGTCTCCACAGTGGTAGACTGTATAGGATATGGCCCCAGGCTCCTCAGATATTGGGCTCTGAAATACCTCACATTTCCATATCTTAAACCCCTTTGGGATTATTTATTAATTGTGCATATCCAGCACATCTGGGGTGAAGTGCAGCGATTGTTTATCACACACAGCAACTCTGCCCAGCTGGTTAGGACAGGAAATGGAGAATCCCAGATCCCACTGCAGGGACCAAGGCTCCAGGGCTAGCACCCTGACTTCTACTAATTATGCTGTGGGCTCTTCAGATGGGTCCCTCCATATACATCTGGCAGCACAGCACCCCTGAGAACCAAGCTTGGGACTTGGTATCTGAGTGCTCCCTACTGGATCACTGTCGCCTCGCTTTGCAGTGGGAGGAGAAAGGTATCAGAGCTGGGGCTGGGATTGAGTTAGGGAAGGGAAGGCAGGGAGAGCTGGGTCACAGCAGGCTGGGAGTTGAGAGGGAGCTGGCAGTTTGTGAAGGAGGCAGGATTGGGGTTGAGAGATCAGGCTGGGGATTGGGGAAGATGAGGATGAAGCTGAGGGAGGCAGGCTAGGAGCTGGGGGACTTCAATGAGGGCATTTCAGGAATGCTGCTTAGATATTGTCTCCTCTAACTGCTGGAGGTAAAAAGCTCTGCATTTTTGGAGCCTTGCCATGTCTCGGCTGCTGCAGCACTGTGAGAGCTTTGGCCACATGCCTACCCCCACCTGTGCCTCCCACATCACTCTCTGGAACAGCAGCCAGCGCTGCACAGGGCAAAAGACTTTAACCGCTTCCTTCCTCCTGCCCAAATGGCCACCTTCCTTTCCCTTCCCTTCATGGCGCACAGCAGTGTCAAAAGATGGGCTTGTGGTTAAGACACTGGCTTGGAACGTGGGAGACCTGGGTTCAGTTCCAGGCTCAACCATGGGCTTCCTGCCTGACTTTGGACAACTCATTTAATTTCTCTGCCTTGATTTCCCCCCGTCTGTGAAGTTCCTCAAATATCCACAAGTATGTGGGTGGTGCTCAGATCCTGTGGCGATGGGGGACCTAAGATCCTGTCCATAGAGAGTTAGGTGGCTGGGACCTTTGAGAAAACTCAGCCACCTCCATTCAGTGCAGTGAGAGTTGAGGAGCCTTTACCAGTTTCCCCACAAAGCCTTTGAGGTGTAACATTAGGACCCCTCAGGTCATCTGACTTGTCACTTTGCTGCCTTTGAGCCTATTGGATTTCAAAGTGCCAGCTGGGGAGGGGTCAGTTGTGCTTTGAGAGGGGCCTGAGACTGGGTGGAGGGGGTCTCTGCAGTGAGAGGCAGAGCAGAAGGGTCTGGCCTCTCCCAGCAGACACTGTCTCACACAGCTCAATGGTGTATTTACCAGTTCCCCAAGAGCAGTAGCCCCCACTCCCATCTTCCCCTGAGGGGACTGCTGTGTTGAGTGCTCTGGTCCTTGCTAGCACAGCCTCCTGGCCTCTCCAGGTGCCTCCCTACTTGAATGAGATCCTGTAGTTCCCTTTGGCATTGCTGCTATAGCCTTGGAGACATCCGTGGGGATTCGCTGAGGGGTGTCCTTGCAAAAAGTTTCTACAGAGACCCCGACAGGGGCTGCAGTGACAGCAAACAACTTTTCTGTCCATTTATTAAAGCCCTGCAGTTCTTCTTCTAAGGCGAGGGAGACAAGTGAATGAGTTCCAGGGATCTTAAAACCAGCCTAGGTAGCCACTAAACTCAACCAGCTCTTCCTGTAGTGCTGGCTGTGCCTCTCTCCCTCCCCTCTCACCCCCCCACTACTGTGTGAACGGTGTTAAAAACAACATTCTCCCTGCCTGTCGCTGCTGCAGCATATTGACTCTGTTATTGAAATGCTATCAGCTGGGCCTGGCTGGCCTCTTAGCACTACATGGGACAGCCAGAAAGGCAGAGCGCCTTGCATTATTCTGCAGTGACCTGTCTCTGGCTAAAGGGGCATCACTTGATGGGCTCTGTAAAGTGTCTTTCTGGTCTTTAGCTGAAGGAAGATGACAGGTGGGTGGGACCTGGAAGACATGAGGAAGTAAAGCCAAGAGGAAGGGAGGTGAGGAGTGATGCGGTGCCTAACTTCTGGGGGGTACCAGGGCTGCAGACTGTGGGAGAAGAGCAGCTTGCTCACATGCCTAGCAATGTCAAGCTCTCCCTGATTCTCATCCCCTTCCCACCAAACGGTTGCCCTGTTGCAGGTCGTTTCCCCTCATCCCCCTGCCCCTGAACCACACATCTCTGTCTCAGGAACTTGCATTGGCCTCTTCTTTTCACATGGTAGTTCCTTCTCTGGATCTCCTGAACAGGAGGCAGGACGATAGGGATGCAGAGCTTTGTGGTTCTGTGAGGAGTAAAGTCTCCTCTCCATGTGGTGGTTAGAGCAGGGATCGGCAACCTTTGGCACATGGCCCGTCAGGGAAATCCGCTGGCGTGCTGGGACGGTTTATTTACCTGTAGCGTCCGCAGGTTCGGCCGATCGCAGCTCCCACTGGCCGCAGTTCTCCGTTCCAGGCCAATGGGGGCTGCGGGAAACGGCGCAGGCCGAGGGATGTGCTAGCTGCTGCTTCCCACAGCCCCCATTGGCCTGGAACGGTGAACCGCAGCCAGTGGTAGCTGCGATCGGCCGAACCTGCGGATGCTGCAGGTAAACAAACTGTCCCGGCCCACCAGCGGATTTCCCTGATGGGCCACGTGCCAAAGGTTGCCAATCCCTGGGTTAGAGGTTTGCCCCAAGCTGAGGGACAGTGTGTCTCTGTTAGTATCTTATCTGCAGTTATATGTGCTCACCCCCCTATGCTCCTGAAATTCCTTTCCTCGCTCCCCAGTGCGGAAAGATAAGCAGCCCATTCAGTCACCTCTTGTCCTGTCTGGCTCTTTGCCCTAGCTGTAGAAATGTCCCACTGCAGGGGTGGCCAACCTGTGGCTCTGGAAGTTAATATGCGGCTCCTTGTATAGGCACTGACTCCGGGGCTGGAGCTACGGGCACCAACTTTCCAATGTGCTGGGGGGTTCTTAGTGCTCAACCCCTGGCTCTGCCACTGGCCCTGCTCCCACTCCAACCCTTCCCACCCCCTCCCCTAAGCCTGCTGTGCCCTCACTCCTCCCCTCTCCCCCCCAGAGCCTCCTGCACGCCACAAAACAGCTGATCGGGAGGGAGTGGGGAGCTGATGACGTATTACTGTGGCTCTTTGGCAATGTACATTGGTCAATTCTGCCTCCTTCTCAGGCTCAGGTTGGCCACCCCGTCCCACTGTCTCTTTTTGAGAGAGCTGGGAAGAGACTGTCTAGCTCTGGACATGGCCACCAGAGAGCTCCGTAAGAGGGTGTCAGGGAGGATGACCTGGGCTCATGTGTGAGGAGGGGAAATGTTACCTTGAGCTGGATGTGAAGGTGGTTGGTGCTTTGAACCGCTTTAACAGCCAGTGTGGGTCATCTGGAGGCTTAGACTGAATAAGTGCTCTCATTGGCTACTGGAGTGACAGGCTTAGGACTGCTGCCTGAGATGAGAAGGTTGGTGTTAGATTCCCATCCACCCTCCCTAGGGTCAGAAGAGATTCGCTATTCGTAGTAGACCTACCCCTGGCAGGTCATTAAGTCAAAAACCAGGCAACCTTGCTGATCAGCTTAACAGTGGTTTCATTCCATCCCCATGGACCTTTCTGCTCCCTAAGTAGGAGTCACAGCCCAGCATCTTTGCTAAAGGTTGGACTGAGGCTCTAAATCCTATTTCCAAGAGTTGAACTTGAGCTTCAGTGTGCGACTGGCAGGAATCAGGCAAATGGCTTCATTCGAGGGAAGCAGAGGAGGTTTAACGCATGGCTCCTTCCAGAGTTCCATCAGTGCTGCTCAGAGCAGCATCAGCTGGAGGGAGTCTCTGC